GCGTCTACTAATGTGTGTTTGTACATTACTGAACAGTAATGTGAATGTTTACATCACTGATGTCAACTTCCACACCATTGCCCAGAAATGTGAACATTTATATCAGAGTGGGCAGACCCCGTAAATGTTCATATTAAATACAGAATAAGTTTTATGAGATTTACCATTAACAACATCACACTTCGGTGACTCGTCCTGGTTTTCCACAGTTTTGGCCCAATGAACCCATCAGGGTTGCCTGGATGCTCTCAGCCTAATCATACTCGATCATGTTGTCTAATGGGTCCATGTATGAGTAGAAAGCCCATCCAATTGTTTCTTCGGACGTAGAAAAGAATAGCTTGACGCATGCATACATGCAAACTAATCTTGCGACCTCTTCATTGTCTTGTTTCTTGGTGCCCTTTAATGCCTCGCTCAAAATTTCTTGTATTTTGGCAGCACTTAACCGACTAACATCCTTGCACATTCGGTGTATGATGCCGGTTGTTGGTTTTGCACCATAAGAGAGGTCCATCGACTTGGTGCCGCAGTCCACCCCAAAAATCAGTGATACATCGCTTCTAAAAATCTGGATGTTCTTATCTCCAATGTAAAACCTCCCACTAGATGGCTTGAATGTCTGCACTATACGTACAATGACATCATCATATTTCATGCAGTGGTTGAGGTCGACTTCATTACTGATCAAGCAGTCAAATAATGGCCAAAATGGTGTTTTTCTAAGGCACTTCACTTGGCCACTTGTAAATTTTGTATCCTTTAACAGTTTGACTAATCCAGTTAGAATTGACCGATAGTTAACTTTTTTCATGTTCACTTCTTCAAGAACAGCTGTTTGATCAGGTTTGGCTTTGGCACGAGATTCCCCTCTCTTTCGCTTGCCATCAAATCTATGGGGAAGACCTGGGTGTTCAAATAAGAACATTTAATTGGCTGAAAAACAGAGGATGGAACCAAAAGCAGCAAACAACATTCAACAATCAACAGTGACAGTAATGTCAACATTCACATCATTGTATAGTGATGTGAATGTTCACTGACGTGAATGTTCACATCAGTATATACTAATGTTAGTTTACCCAGTATAGTAATGTAAATGTTCACATCATCTATGTTTGCAAAATCAATTCCGGAAATAACAACAGTTATAGGGCAATGTAAATGTTTACATGGGTGATCACATTATGTTATAATTGGCCAAAAATCAAAGGGTGGAACCAACAGCACCAAACAACACCCAACAACACAAACAAGTATGACATTGATGTCAAAATGTGAATATTTACATCATATTCCATCACATTGTTGAGTGAAGATTGGGGGTTCTATGGACATTAACAATCAACAAAATCAACAGTGACAGTAATGTGAACATTCACATCGTTATACACTGATGTGAATGTTCACATCAGTGTCTAGTAATGTAAGTTTACCCAGTAATCAACACCAATGTGAATGTTCACATCATCTATGTTTACAAAATCAATTCCGAAAACAACAACAGTTACAGGGCAATGTAAATGTTTACATGGGTGATCACATTATGTTATAATTTGCTAAAAATCAAAGGGTGGAACCAACAGGACCAAACAACACCCAACAACATGAACAAGTCAGACATTGATGTCACAATGTGAATATTTACATCATATTCCATCACATTGTTGAGTGAAGTTTGGGGGTTCTATGGACATCAACAATCAACAATATCAACAGTGACAGTAATGTGAACATTCACATCATTATACACTGATGTGAATGTTCACATCAGTGTCTAGTAATGTAAGTTTACCCAGTAATCAACACTAATGTGAATGTTCACATCATCTATGTTTACAAAATCAATTCCGAAAACATCTATGTTTACAAATTCAAATCCGAAAACCAGAAGGTGGATGTATGCATCGGTGACCACATTATGATTGAAAAACAGAAGGGGCAATGGTATTGCTTACTTTTGTTCCTCATGGTGGGTGGGTATGGTCACTCTCAGTGGATGAAATAAACTCAATCCAATGACGAAGAAGCACCCTCCTTCCGATGTGAACCTTCGCAGCGGTGAGATGAAGAGGAATCTGGGGTTGACGGTGGACGGTGGACAACTACGACGTTGGTGAGGCAATGTGAATCTAGGGTTACTGGAGGCGATGTGAATCTGGTTTCGTGGATTCAATTTTTGTTTTGGAAATTTTGTGGATTGAATAGTTGGAATGGGAATGGGTTTTGCAGAATCAGTTACACGCGGGAGAGGCGGAGGAGGGTTATTTCGTCCTTTTACAATTAATGGACCTAATGAAATATTCAAAAATAGTTTGGGATTTATGGAATAAAACAGTTACAAATAGGATTTATCAAAAAAGAGCCCTTGTTAAAATTGGAAACAAAATGCGGACTTAAATTTGTTCTGATAAAAAATTATATGTATTACATCTTATGGAGATATTGCCTAGTTGCAGGTGCAATAACACTAGCACAATGTTTGTTATATAGAAATTTGTTTCCTTCCATTTCTCATCTTTAAACTCATCATCTCTCTTGCTGTCTTCATATCTTTAAGATTTTCTTTAGTTACTAAAAGATTACAAAATTAAGAATGTATCTATATGGATTTCCAAAATGAGTGAAGCAGTAGACACACTGGTTTATGAAGACACATCTACATCTTCTAGGTTGCAAAGAATTAAAACTGGGCACATCACAATTCAAATAGCATCATGCTTTATAATATGAGAAGGGAAATGTCATACAAACAAAATTTATATGCAAAAAATTCATACAGAACGATATGTTTCATTATATATATTCATTGGAAGTCAAAATGCTTCATTATTTTGATTCATAATTGCAATAATTGCATTACCACACCATTCTTGTCTTAAAGTTTGTATGATTCTATTTGAATATCAATTTCCATATGAGAATTACATGGATCTAGACCTCATGACAATACCTAACTACATAGACATACCACAAGAAGCCTTCAAATGAAGCATGACTTAGCATAATATCCATATTGCAGTAGAGCTAAGAAATGCAGAATATTCATATTGCATTAGAGCTAAGAAACTCCGGTCAATCTTGATAATCCATTTTTTGAAAACACAAAGTGCCTGGTCACTTAACCAAAAAAGGAAAAAAAAGGAAAACAAACAAAAGAAGGAAAGAACAAGAACAGAGTCTCATTCTCTAAAGATTTTGAAAATTTTTAAATCTAAAGGCCTAACTATTGAAAGAAAAACTCCCTAGTTGAAAGGATCAACAAAACAGAAACTTCATGTATATAGGCCCCTAATTGAAAAATAAATTAAAATAAAATATAAATTTTTTTAAAAAAAAAAACTCTTCCTTAAGGCGATGAAAATTCTTCTTATTCAAAAAATCCTAATAAAAATGGAAAAATGCATCTTAACAATAATAAATATACAAGGGAAATGGAATTTAAATGAAAAATTTTCTGATGTAAAAATATGTTAAATATTTAAATATTTCAAATTTGCTCTTTAAGATTTTACCAAAGGTTGCAAGAACAAGAATATTGGGCTAGCCTGCCGCACATATTAAGGGATATGTATGTTGTATTATTTTTTAGTTCACAGTTTAATGAGGTACGTTAAAAGTAAAATGAACAAAATATATTGTACCAAAGGAGATGAATAATCAACACACAATTAGAACCATTGGCAAAGAAGATGAACAACGAAGAAACTAAAGAAATGATATGAAACAAAGATAATTTAAAACAGGACAGAGCAATAAACAGAACATGCTTAATTCCAAAAGACAATTACATACAGTGTATTGATACAGTGAACACATAATGACATACAATTTCCAAAAGACAGTTTTGATACAAAAAACATCGTTTGATTTCCATGTGCTAGTTGATTAGGCAAGCAAGGTAAAAAAGATTCTTAATTCTAAAGCACATAGATGGAAAATTTTTGAAATTGGAATTAAGAAAATAAATGAAAACACATGGACCAGATTATGATATCAAGAGATTCATAACAACCTTGAAACTTCACTTGCTGTCTAATATGTCAACAAAATCAATGGCCATAAACTCATCCTCAATCCAAAGTCTAATCTCAAGAGAATTGAAAATGCAAAAGACCATTCACCTAAAGTGTGAACTTGGCATGCTACTGAGTTTCAAAAAGCACAAGTTGGACAGATATTTTTCAAATAATTATTACAAGAGATATCAAGCTTACCAATTGGCAACTCCCAAAACTCTACAAACAAATAATACTGAGGGGAGGACATACACTTAGGTTGAATAATTAGATTGACCTTCTCTCCCCTTCTCATGGTGTTGAGTGCTTTTGGCAATGCTGGACAAAATGGCCTAAAAGAATCAAACACAACGATTTTCCCATAAAAGATGTCAGTGGAACTATACCCTTATACGTCACTGCATTATAAATGTTTAACCCAAACATTGAAAACAAATGCAAATCATTATTTTAATAGCCAATTACCATCTTTCACATGAAATTCGACTCCCTTCTGGTGTTGTTGCAACCATAGCACCATCATCCAACCTCACTTGATACGTGACTGCATCAGAAACCAAAAAAAATCCTTGAATCATTGTTCTAACAAGAAAAATAACAGTTGAAAACTGCAGCCTAAATAGGGCTGGCCTTGACTTTTGTAGGGCCCAAGGCGAACTCAAAAAATGAGGCCCAAATCATCATACATATTTTAATATTGAGATAAATTTTAAACATTTTCGATTGTTAACATTATTAGTTTATTCACACTTCCTGGCATAGTAGATTGAATTATAAAATTTGATAAACTTCAACTTTAAAAAAAAATTTATTTTTCTAAAGACAATTATAATTGGTATAGTCAAATAATATTCTATAAATAATTCATGCATTTGGCAAACAACCATCCATTACTTTTAAATAATTTACGAATTCAAATGTTTAAAAAAAAATTAAAACTTCGTTTTTGAACTACTGATACTATTATGTAGTATTTGGTTCATTGAAATGAAATGAAATTAAATAGAATGATCATTTCTTATTAGTCTTTTTGGACATTATGTTGGAGTGATTTTCATTTTATTTTATTTTTTAATTTCAATGAACCAAACATAACTTAAGATCGAAAATTATTTGGGGGTCCTATTTTTTAGACAAAATTTGGGGGCCCGAGGTGGTAGCCTTGCTCGCAGTGCCTCAAGGCCGGCCCTAAGCCTAAACAACCTAAAAACATAGAACTTGTCATCAATGAAAATCACATGGAATCAAATAATTAATAATAAACAGACAAGTTATATTACCGAGAACATAATCTAAATCACTGGGTGGGCTAATTTGTTCTCCCTTCTCCATCACTTTCTTAATAATTCCACCATCCTTGCAAACATCTATACTGTGATCCATGAGATGAGATTCAAACTGAATAACACAATTGAGAGGGACACCATTTCTACCTGTGGTTCATAACCCAAATCAGAGGCAGCGTCAACAATGCCATCTCCCCCTTCTTCATGGTAATGATTGCATGGTCCAATACCACTTGACCTAACCAACCCATCAATAAACCAATCAAGTTGAAGTAACCCAAAAGTAACTCCATGAAAATAAAGAATCACAATGAAGTACTTTCGCATCCGAAAATACTAAGTTTTCAATGCTTTGTTTTTGAATTTTAATGTAATGTATTTAAAGCTAGAAATCCATCAATTTTGTTAGTGGAGATAGCACTCTTTAGCATCATTGGTATAGTTTCTGAATATAAGTTCTCATTGTTGCTATAGCGATCCTGGTTGTCCCTTTACTGTTCAGTTGTATTCCGGACTCAGTTCCGTGGAGTTGGTAGTTGTATCTATCTTGTTGTCGTCCTTTAAATCCATTTGTTTGAGTTTTAAGATGTGTTGGGCTTGGTTGTTACAGGTTGGTAGAGCTTTGGCTCCCATTGTTGTTGCCTAGTTTTTGAATGGTCCGCTCGAGCGGGTCATTTTGCGCTCGAGCGGGGTTTACACCCTTCCAGCATTTCGTGTCCCTGCAAAACTTCTGCATGTGTGTTTTCTACGCTCGAGCGGGTTTCTTGCGCTCGAGCGGGTAGTTCTTTTTCTGAAAAAGTTCTGGGAGATAAAAATCTACGCTCGAGCAGACTGGTTCTTCGCGCTCGAGCGGATGTGTTTTGCTTTTGTTTCTTAGAGCTCGAGCGGGCCTCCTTGCGCTCGAGCGTGTCTAGATTTTTGTGCTTAACGCTCGAGCGTTCTATTCTCCGCTCGAGCGGGAATGTCGTATATCAGTTGGCAGCTGGGCGTTTTAAAATCACTTTTTACAATTCTCTCTCTCTCTCTTACTTTCTAAAAACACTTTTTGAGAGCTTCTCTCTCTAGGATCTCCCTTCTCTCTAGGGTTTGATCTAGTTCGAGTGTCCCCCTATCCTTTGGCCTTTGTAAAAAGTGTGTTGATCGTCGAGGGCTTCGTTTTGATCCGTGGATCTTAGTATTTGGAGCATTTTGGTTTTCTTCAACTTTCCCGTTTAAGCTCTAACTTCGAGGTAGGGATATCTTACTCCTCCTTATGAGCTTTGCCTTTAAATTTTAGCATTTTGATATGTTGGGGGTTGTTGGGTAATTTTGAGAAAGTTTGGGCTTTTATATAATTTTACAAAAGAAGGGGTTTTACTTATATAAACCTATATGCATGTTTAGCATGGAGGATTGAGGTAAATGTTGGGTTATTGATAGAAGTGGAACCGTGGGGTTGTTTTTTTAATTATGGGAAATACCCTAATTACATTGATAAATTAATTTGTAAAATTAATTTTGAGAAATGAGAAATTGAATTGAGAATGTTGAAATTGGGAATGTATGGAATTAAAGGGGTGTAGTTGGATCATTTATCACTCACCTAGTTGAAATGTTTGTCACGCCCTCAAAATAATAACATTAAACCCATCAATATAAACATACATTTACATACAAAAGATCCACATTCCCTCAATTAAACAGAGTACTTCATTACAAAAGTATTACATGTTAACAACAAAAGTAAATGCCCTACGGGCTTACAGCTTTCTAAGTTATCACTTGGTTACAAAAGAGAGTATTAACTCAGTTACACATTAAGCCCTTAGCTTGAATTTACATGTAATACATCAAAAGGAAAATAAGGCAACAAAAGTATGTCTTGCCCCTAGCCTCCCAAGCTATGTCCTTAGAGGCGGCATGCTACCTGTACCTGAAAATGATGTTCCCATATAGGGTGAGCCACAGCCCAGCAGAGATATACTAAACCAACTATGAACAATGATTAAAAGATTAGCAACTGATAGATGGTCGATACTTACACTTCCATTTACATCTTATTTCAATTCCAAGACAACCAAACCTATGTTACAATTCACTTTTCATTTCTTATTCAACTTTGAGTTTGAAAACAAAACAGGGCTCAGTACTCTGGCCAAAACATTTTGATGAGATTATAGTTCATCACTAGAACATTTTCAAAATTCACGGTGGATACACATTTTGGTGTTGTATCAATAACACATAAACTACTTCCATACTTCACAAACGATAATGATATACATTTTAGTGCTATATCAAATCAACAGACTTTTCAATAGATAAGCATATGAGCTATATCACTACTACAACAGATAAGCATATGAGCTATATCAATACTTCAACAGATAAGCATATGAGCTATATCAATACTTCAACAGATAAGCATATGAGCTATATCAATACTTCAACAGATAAGCATATGAGCTATATCAATACTTCAACAGATAAGCATATGAGCTATATCAATACTTCAACAGATAAGCATATGAGCTATATCAATACTTCAACAGATAAGCATATGAGCTATATCAATACTACAACAGATAAGCATATGAGCTATATCAATACTACAACAGATAAGCATATGAGCTATATCACTACTACAACAGATAAGCATATGAGACATCAACAGACAAGCATATTAGCTGTATCCACACTTCACTAGACAAGCATATGAGCTATATCAACACCACAACAGTTTTCTTCAATTAATTATATGCATTAATTAATTTAAACCAATTAGGGCAAATTACCATAATTCACAAAACAACCCTAAGGTTCCATTTCCATCAATGTACCTTAAATTTATGCATTTCTCTATGCCTAACATGCATATAGGTTTATATATTTAACACCCCGACTTTTGTAAAATTACACAAAGGCCCAAACTTTCTCAAAATTACCCAACAACCCCCAACATATCAAAATGCTAAGATTTAAAGACAAAGCTCATAAGATGGAGTAGGTTATCCCCACCTCGAATGATGGGGCTCAACGAATAAGATGAAGAAACGGAAATGCTCTAAATCCCGAGATTTTCATATTAAAAGATAGCCCTCGACGATCAACACAACTTTTGTAAAGGCCCAAGGTGAGAAAACAACTCCTACTAGATCAATCCTAAGAGAGAAGTTAGGGTTTTAGTGAGAGGAGCTCTCAAAATACCTTTTTGGAAAAGTAGGAGAGAGAAAGGATGTTGAAAAGTGAACAAAAAGGTCGAATCTCAGCTTTATATAAAAGCCGCCCCGCTCGAGCGTCCAAACCCCCGCTCGAGCGTCACTCACAGACTCCCGCTCGAGCGTCAACAATTCCGCTCGAGCAGCGGATACACACTCCCAGAACTTTTACAGAACCAGGTCTCCGCTCGAGCGTCAACCCTCCCCGCTCGAGCGTCACACAACATCCCGCTCGAGCGTCAAAACTCCCGCTCGAGCGCACAACACTGCAGAGGAGATACTGGAAGATGGAAAACTACGCTCGAGCGTCGAAAACCCCGCTCGAGCGGACAGACGACAACGAAGGGCCCGCTCGAGCGTCAAAATCCCCGCTCGAGCGTGAAGGCCAAAATCTGGGCAACTACTCTTGGTTTCTAAGTCCAACCAACCTGTAACAAACTCGCCCAACACAACCCAAGACTCGAATGCAAGGAGTAAAGGATGTAAACAAGATATACACGACAACCAACTCCGCGGAACCTAAGTCCGGATACAACAGTAAAAGAAAAGGGGAAACCGGGATCGCTATAATGTTGATATTTTATCCATTTGGTGCATTTTTTTTTCCGTTTAGAAATAACTGCTTTGGACTATCGGTGGAGGATAGTCTTGATTGTTGTAGACAATGCATGATGATTGGGCAAACTAAAACTAATCAATTGAATGTGTCATCGAATATGACGGTTGGAATAATACATTAATCTTATGTATTGATTGATTATGTATATGATAATTGTTTATATACATTGTGTTGTGTGGGAGGAGATAGGGGATGTACTCCACGGTTTAGGGGAAGATAGGGGATGGACCTCTAAACCGGATTTTGTTTGACATTGATACAACACTACAATGTGTATCAAGTGTGGATTATGGAAGTGTTTGAATTGATTTGATATAGCACTAAAATGTATATCGGTATCAATTGCGAAGTATAGAAGTGTTTCTATGTTATATTGATACAGCACCAAAATGTGTATCCTTCATGAAGTACGGAAGTGGTTTATGTGTTATTGATACAGCACCAAAATGTGTATCCATCATGAATTTCAAATGTGTTTTAAAGATGAGTCATAATTTCACCAAGTTATTTGGCTAGGTTCTGAGCCCTGTTTTCAAACTCGAAGTTGAAAGGAAATGGGAAATGAAAAGTAACATGGACTTGAATGTCATGAAACTGTGATGTGTTATAAGTGGGAATATAAGTGTGGACCATCTATCGAATGCTGTTATTTTTGTCATTGTTTATAGTTGGTTTAGTATATTTCCACTGGGCTGTGGCTCACCCTTTATGGGACATCATTTTCAGGTACAGGTAGCATGCCACCTCCAAGGACATAGCTTGGGAGGCTAGTGGCAGGCGGACTTTTTGGTTGTTTTGTTTTCCTTTGATGTATTACATGTAAATTCAAGCCAAGGGCTTAATATGTATATGAGTTAGTACTCTTTTCTTGTAACCAAGTGTTGGCTTGGAAAGTTGTAAGCCCTTAGGGCGTTTACTTTTGTTGTCAACATGTAATACTTTTGTAAGAACTACTCTGATAAATAGAAAGATGTTTATTTCTCCTATATTGTTGCATGTCAAGAATGATGGGTTTCATGTATTATTTTGAGGGCGTTACAGTTGCTCACGACAATGGCTCTCACTGATTGCATTTATGTTGAACAGATGGTGTGCCTAATTTGTGTATGCACTAATAAGCAACCATGAGAGCAGAAGCATGCAAATCAGATATCAATATATCTTTATATAGCAGAAAAAGGAGTAGAAAACCACTAAATTACATACCAGATTGTGGAGTTTGGACTGTAATTTGTGAACCCAGAAACAACGAAGCTGAACCAAGATAGGAAGTGAAGCAGAAAAAAGAGTATAGACATATATATATATATATATGGTTTTGTGCACCAACTAACCGACTCGCTTATCCAACCCATGTAGCTGCACAAGCAAACAAAGAGCACCACCTTGTCCAATTGATATTTTGCAGGTACCAATTTCAGCACATCCCAGCACATGGCCAAACTTCACCAAAAAAGAGAGAA